GGGGGGGGGGGGGGGGGGCACAGTATGGCAGTCCCACAAGTCAGAGGGCTGGGCAGGCAGGAGGAAGATGCTGTGGTCCCTCTTCTTCTTCTTCTTCTTTTCCTCCTCCTCCTCCTCCTCCTCCCACCACTGTGTCTCACCCTCCCCCCCCTGTGTCTCCTCTTCACAGGTAGAGCTCCTTGGCTCTGATATGCTGCAGCTTGTCCCTCAGCATGCGGAAGGAGGGCCGCACGACAGAGTCCAGGGTCCAGCACTGCTTCATCAAGTCGTACACCACGGGCGGGCAGCCGTCCGGGGCGTCCATCTTGTATCCCTTCTCCACCCGGGGCACCACCTCTTTCAGCGGCTGAGAGACGGGAAGGGGGAGTGAGAGAGTTAAACATGTTGACTGATATTCCGCTGCGCCGTGGTATCCCAACCAAAAGGTTAACGAAAAAAACAGACTAAATATTTAGATGCTACAAAGCAAAAATATTTAAATTCCTAATAAAGCACACATCGTGTCTCATTTGCTCCAGTAGGTCTGATGGCACAAATATTTTTAAGGTCACTTCACTAATCCTGTTCACAAATAACACACACAAGTAAAACACACACAAATAAAACAAACACACACACACACACACACACACCAGCAATGAAGCCTGCCATCTGCTGGTTTATAGCTGTATGCCTCGGACCTCGGCGAGCCACACAAATGTGGTGTTCAGGTACTTACAATTCTAGGGTAAGGCACGCGCCCGAAAGAGTAGATCTCCCAAAGCAGGATTCCGTAACTCCAAACGTCTGATTTGGTGGAAAACCTCTGTCAGACAAAAAAAAAAAAAGAAAAGAAAAGGGGGGGAGCGTTCATTTACACATCAGACAAATGCATTCAGGTATTTTCTGCTTCCTCGAGCCATAAATGCTCTTGCCTCGTTTGTTTTGGTGCTATTTCAAGAGTTCAAGTGAGGAAACATGAATAGCGTGACAATAAACACAGATGTAACAACTCAGTGAGTTGGAATTCCACATCAGCGTAGGCTGCAAAGAGCATGTGCACATGCAGATTTGAAAGATTAAGGGAAGAAAATGAAGGAAGTTAAACTACTACTGCTATCAAACAAAGTGCCAGGAGCAACATTTTTAGCACTTTGAATGTTAAAGTTAGCAGTGTCAACTTTGGCACCACATTAAAAGACTTAAGAATCATCCTACTTTAACTCTTTCTAATGCTGGTACTAGATGAAAACAAATGCAGGGAAAGTCACAGCGCATTAGCTCCGGTCCGCCCCCTCGTCCCCTCTCACCTTCTCTCTTATTGCCTCAGGGGAGGTCCACTTGACGGGCAGCTTGCCCGTGTCCTGTATGGAGGACGCCTCCTTGGTGAGGCCGAAGTCGCTGACCTTGGCGATGTTGTCGTCGGACACCAGCACGTTGCGGGCCGCCAGGTCTCTGTGGACGAAGTTGCTGGCTTCCAGGTACTCCATGGCTTCGCACACGTCACTGGGCGACACAGCGAGACAGGAGACATGACGGCTGAGACGATGGCAAACCCACAGGTGTGCGTCCCCTCCCTTAATCTATGTGGACATTTCTGTGGCCTCGCCAGACACATCAAATGACAAATGCAGCTCAAATATAATTAGAATCAGAAAATACTGCAGAATGATTTTCCTCCTTTGCTTGCTTCGTGTTCACGCAGTGAAAGTCTAATCCCCTGCACGCGTCTGACAAGGACTCAGTCAAGGGACACGTGGCTCACACTGAAAATGAATCATCAAGTACTTCCTTGTGGATGCATGGTTTTGCGCCTGTGTTGCAGTCATTTTGAGTTGTGCCGGGTTACAGCGTCGGCTAAATGACTGTTAAATAAAAAGAAAGAAAGAAAGACTTTGAGACACTTGACTCGCAGATAAAGCGCCCACTTATCAAGGCGAACACCCTGCGCGATGGTTGCTTGGGTAAACAAAGGCTTCTTTTATGTTCGGCAGTTTGTGAGCGTGACAACGTTCTCTTGAAGCTCCATTCAGATCCCGACAGCTAAAGAGCAGCAGTTGCTGATTAGAGTGCTGATTAAACGTTTATCTGTTGTACAAATGTAATGAGAACCTGAAGAGGACTCACAGCGAGAACTTGAGTAAGCAGTCTCCGCCGAGCACGGTCCGTCCTCGGGAGCGCAGGTAGTCCACTAGGCTGCCCTGTGACACAGAGGAGAGGAGGACGTTTTCAGTATGGGGGGGATGATTTGTTCTTATTAATAGTTTATTTAAGTGATTAATAAGAACAGCTTAAAATTTGCTCATCTCTATTCTAGGTTTGGGTGCCAAACTACTTCTTGTCAGGGAGCAGTTGCCAGCAGGAACTCCGGGACGTCACTGCACCCAGCCAAGAAACGGCCCCGTACATAATCCCCCGGAAAACGGCTTCCGCTTCTTTTAGAGGTTAAACCAACCACATACAGTTTTCCCAATACTGTTTCCACACACGTATTAAAACATGAAAAAAACTTGTGCGACAAACCTTGGCCATGTACTCCGTGACGATGTAGAGACTGCCCCTCTCCTCGACTATTACACCTAGCAACTGCACCAGGTTGTTGTGCCTCAGTTGCCTGAGAGCAGAAGCAGAAAACATGTGATGGGAACAATAAATAAAAAAACCTGTGATAGAAAACACTTTTTTACGTATTTATTATCAAGGGATCTTACGTCATGACGGAGGCCTCGGCGATGAAAGCCTGCGCCGTTGCGTCGTTTTTGATGCACTTGACCGCCACCTTGTTCCCTCTGTAGTCTCCTACCATCACATCTGACGAGGACACAGTCGGGGAACACGTTTTAGTACTATATGAGAGGCGACCGTGGCCTCTTGTTACTACGGCTCACATGTATGAAATGAGATGATGCAGAAATCCTCACCTCCAAACTCCCCTTTGCCAATAGTCTGCAGGAGTTTCAGCTCCTTTCTGTTCAAGGCCCAGCCGCCTGCCAAGAGAGGACAGATAACACTTAGCAGGCTTCACAGGCGACGACAGTCACGCTACAAGTCTAATAGCATTACTGTAAAAAAACAATGTATATATTCATGAATACACCTTCTAGTCAGAGTACTTCTACTCTCTCAATGACGCATCTGTTATTTGGGGAGGAGATATGTTGATTTATCCGAACGGTTAGCGTTAAAGAGTTAGCGGGTCAGAAGGGTACATGGCGAGGAACGAAAGAAAGCCAGAGGAAGACTCGGGTTGACCTTGGGAACTCATCCCCAGACACACCAGGATTAATCACCCCTCTGTTGATTAATGCTATCAGGACCCACTGTCTGCACGCTGAACGCTCGGGAGGTTATCGTGACAGTACGGAAACACAACAATGCCAGTGTCCTGTGGGGGGGGGGGGTGTTTAATGAGCTCAGTGTGTCCTTACTCCTGGAGAACTCGTCTTGTGCTGCCACCGTTCCCTCCATCAACTTGGGTTTGATCAGCCGGGTGCAAAGGCCATCGGCGTCTTTGGTGTAGTGCTGGGGACAGACAGGAGGCAATTACATGCATTGTTCTTTTTCAATACGGGAGGATAAAAGTCAGTGTGTAAAGGTTGGAGATTACGATACAAATCCTGGTTGTCATTTTCATAAAGGGTTTCATCGTTTGACTTTTTATAAACCTGATGTCTGCAGATTACACTGCGATAGTTCGCTCTCACTCGGCCGTCTTAGACCTATTGAATGGAGGGCTGATGTTGAAAGATTAAATCTGAGAGGTGGATCCGTGTACAAGCTTTTGAGGATTCAGGCAAGAGTTGATGTGCGGAAGCTTAGTCGACGTCATGTGTACGGGGATATCAGTTAGCCTTTACCAAAGAGAGACAGAAAACTATTAGCAACGCACATCAACGGTGAAGAGGATGGCTGTGCTGAGGAAACTCCCGCCACAAAAGATGGAAGGAAATAGAAGGAGATGAGTAGAGGTAATGCTTTTTGGAGCACTGTGCTCCTCAAATCAGCTCCAAGGGCGTAATGAAAGTAGTTAAGTTCTCCACCACATTGTTCAGCACTGAGACTCACATGTGTGGCCACATATGTCGAATAACAACACACATATACTCAATTACACAAATGTAGATTCAACACTTTTAGACAACTCAGAATGTTGCATAATAAGCACCGCTTGTTTCCATAAAATCATTTAATGCGTGAAAATGTGTTTTAGTACACAATTGTGCTCGATAAATCGAGATCCTCCCATATGTAGTTAAAGCAGAAGGGTGTAATCACAGAGCAAAAATACTAAATGAGGATTGTAGTTGGGAAAAACTTTCCCCCCGTGCTGTCACACCCTTTTAAAATAACATATATATATCTATAGATATATATCTATAGATATCTATAGATATATATCTATAGATATATAGATATCTATAGATATATAGATATCTATAGATATATAGATATCTATAGATATATAGATATCTATATATCTCTATCTCTATCTCTATCTATCTATCTATCTATCTATCTATCTATCTCTATCTCTATATCTATCTATATCTATCTATATATATCTATATATCTATATCTATATAGATATATAGATGTATGCGTCGCCTGCTTCGACGGGCCAATGAGAGCGAGCCGGATAAACACACAAGAATGCGAGGCATCCTCTCACAGCCTGTTATGGAGAGAAAGGAGAAGGCACAGGGGAATGCAGACGGTGGAGAGGATAAAGATGTAGTGAGATTGAGAGAGAGAGAAACTGAGGGCGGGCGAGGCGGGGGAAGAGGTTGAGGTGGATAACAAAGAGAGGAGGAGAGGAAGCAATATGCCAGGTATCCAGGAGGGAGGTGGAGGAAGGTAGAAGCAAACCTGGAGGGTGTGAACGTGAGAGAGCGAGAGCGAGAGAGATAAGATTGTGGGCGGCTGACATGTAGAATGCAGCGGGGATGTAGATGGTCTCGGTGCCAGCTGGCACATTCCTGTCGTCCACTTCCAAACGGCCCCCGAGGCAAAGGGATGAGGTCCAATTAAAAGTGCGATAGCCGTCAATCCAGCTCCTCTCTTAATCTGAGAGGATGAAAGCCCCCCCCCCCTTGCCATCAATGTCTCCCATCTCGTCTTCCCCTCTCCACACTCATTCCTCTGAACCGCTCGCAGATAACAGGCAGCGAGTGAGAGGATCAGACGGCTTTTTGAAGAATGTGAACAAGTACTTGAGTCTGATTTTAAGAGGGAACTCCATGGGGACACTCAGTGTGTGTTTGTGTGTGTGTGTGTGTGTGTGGTTCTTGTGTTTACAGAGTTATGTAATCATACCGCTGCATGATTGATCGCAGTGTAACTCAATTTAATTTGACTAATTGTTTAACACTGGCACGCCATTTCAAGCTGGATTCCAAATCTCAATCGTAACATGATGAATGTAAACAGACCTGGATTGCTTCAATAGACTCATTGATGATGAGTGGGGACTTTTTGGGGACAAGTCTACAGGTTAAGATCGCCGACTGTTTTTGCACACAGATTGAAAACAAGAGCTGACAAAAATCCAATACAGCCTCCTGGGGCTTTAACTAATGAATGACTCTGCAGATTGTTTTCTTGATTAGTCATTTGGTTTATAGAATGTCAATAAATGATGAAGAATGCCCGTCGCTATTTCGTCCAACCGACATTTTTTGCTTTAAAAAAACAAATAAATAATCAGAATAGTTGCAGATGTTTTCTCTGACGACCAACTCTCCAGTCTTCCTGAGGAAACTGTGATGAGGCATAATGTTTGTGGAATCTCGTTTTCTGCCGCTGCAGAACGAGTTGCCGGTAGCCTGAAAATGTTCGCGCCACATCTCGATGGCTTTTTAGGAGAGAGGAAGTATCTTCAGGGGCAACATGAAACAAGAGTGGTCAAAGGTTTCCTTTTCTTGACAACAACTTCCTTTACCCGCGGATTGGCTGAAACTCTCTGCGACTTTCAGTTCTCCTGATGATTAAGCTTGAAGACAAACCGAGCAACTGGCACCGATAACGGGTGGCCAAATACACTTTTTTCATCTGCCAGACTGAGCGCCAAGCGTAACATGGGTACCAAGAGCGTCATGTGAGGAGAAGATGGGAGTCGCCTCACCTCAACCAGCTGCATGAGGTTCTCGAAGTACTCCTCCTCGTCGATGGTGAGCTTGCCGTTGTGGTAGATGATGCGGTAGTGCTCCACCTTGCCGTCGCAGCTGACGCACAGGGTGTAATCGCCGGGGTAGTTGGTGCTCTCCCTCACCAGGAACAAGCCCGTCTCCGGAGGGTAGAGGAGCCGCTCGGCCTGCTCCCGGGTTATCTTCCCGTGGAACCAGCTGCGAGGAGGGAAAGGTGGGCAAAAAGTTAATGACAAGACGGGGAGAAAATGATGGAGAGATAGTGTGAAAAGAAGGAGAGCATATAATGAAGAGGGAGAAACAAGGAGATGGTGAGTCAGACATCAAAATGACAAACGTGGACAAAGAATGTGAGTGAAGAAAAGGGAACAGTTTGAGATTCAAAAACTGGCATAGACTGTTTGCATGCCCACACACACACACAGTGCACACGTTTATATAACAATCGTGGACTATTAAAGAAACAAGTGTGATCCATGCGCCGCTACAACTGAAATCCTCATCTGCTCTGTCAGCGCTGCTATCAGCCTCCACGCATTGCGGCCTGCAGCCCTTCTCTGAAATGAGAAATAAAAACCGAGCGCCTGTCACGGTGACGGGAAGCCGGTTGGCGCCACTTCCGGTCCGTTCGGCTCGAGCAGAGCAAAGGGGGGAGAAAGTACCTGGACCCAAACAACAGGAAGCTCGGTGTTCTCACACTCACAAGGAGCCTGAGGCAGAGTCGGAAACTGACACGCACGCACTGCAATAACAGGAAAATGCAAAAAAGAAAAAGAGTGCTCAGACGAGCTGGTGGACCGGACAGAGCCAAGTCACCAGTTCCTGGTGGAGATCAGGGAGACCAAGAGATGGACTGACTAAGGAGTTCGATTTGTTTTTAACTCGGGCTTCTGCAGAGATGGAAAATAAAAAGCTGTTCTCTGAGAACAAATAAAGCTCTTGCTTTGCTGGCTGTGTAACCATGCTTCACCCTCACCATATGGCCTGGTGGATTCAAATATATGCTACTTATAGATGGATCAGACAGCTGCGTTACAGTGAGTGCCTTCACATGCTGGCTGAATCCTGGATTGAGGAATCCTGGCTGTCAGCCTTACCGTGGTTTGGGTCATATTGGCAATATGGTTGTGTACATGGAACACAGAGAAACCTGTTTTTTTTCATTTTTTTTTTTCATATACACATATAATTATACACACACACACACACACACACACACACACACACAAACATGATCCTAACAGTATGCTGATTTTACAGTAGTCTGTGTGGTGTCGTGATTCCTTAACATGGCAGGCTCTTGTTTCTGACTGGGTTTCTGTATTTAACAGCAAATTAATTGTACCCTTTGATCTACAAAATGTCCAAGTGTAATGTATGTTAGATTTCCCAATGAAATACAAAATCTGAGCACTCATTGTAAGAATTTAGATATCGTTCATCTGTGGTCCTGAGCTCGCTCTCACACACACACACACACACACACACACCGATGTATGTCACTCCTCGTGTGACAAGGTTGTGTTAGAGGCAAGCGGTAGTAGCCTACAGGGTCTCTCTGTGTCCATCTTGGATGGTGAAGTAGAGGTAATCAACGGCTCCAATTGATTCAGCCTTGTTTTCCCGCGGCTGCCTCAGTCACTCCCTACTCCTCTTCTTCACACTCGTCCTCCTCACGCAGCGGAGGCCCTTGTGGTAAAGCAGCTTAGTGCGGGTTGAGTTGATTAGATCAGCGAGTGCGGCTTCTCTGATGGACAGCGGGCTCCGTTAACTCCGCTAATCCGAGACCCTTCGCGCCAAGCGTGGCCTGTGGCCCCCACACACACACACACACACACACACACACACACACAGGCTGCTCTGTCCACGGCAATTAACTGCGGTAGTCGTACATTACATCACACTGAAATAAAGATATAAAACATGTGGTAAACAACAGGGAAGGAGGGCTGAACACCCCGGCATTCTTTAGTGGGAGGTGCACGTTATGTGTGGCAGATGTCTGGCACACGGGGGCAGCAGAGAGAACAAGCTGTTGGGACATCGCGAGGGAAGAGAGGACGGTATCCACTGCCGAGTATCAATCGGTCAGGGCTCGAATGGGGACAGGAGGGACCACAGCTGAAACCTTATGTAACCCAGAAGAGGAGGAGAGGTCTTCTGCGAGACATCTGTTGGAGATTCATAACTAAAGCCAACGAGTCCCCGTGGGTTACGGACGATGGCTCCAGATAATGACTTCTGATGACTTGAGTGTTTTAAAAAAAACACTTCTCAAGAACAGCTGTAAGGACATGAGGTCATCAAGCAGAACCATGCAAACAGTTTCATGTAATAAGTGAGAAAAAAAGAGGCAAAAGTGGACTACTTGTCAGACTGCAGGAATCATAACATGATCAATCAAAGTGACCAATCTCTGAACTTAAATCTAATCAGAGCAGCAAAGTAGGCGCCAGCACTGGAGTTTAGTAGCTCATGCTGCTGTTGTTGTGTTTGCAAAGCCCTCCCGGTTGCACGAGGCTAACTTAAAGATAGCTCCTCAGACCACATATGCAGCGACGTGCCAGAGCTGGTGACCCCCGTGACCATGCTGAAAATTGGTGCAGATGGGCGGAGTCAGTGGCGGAAAAGGGAGAGAGGTTAAAGCTCTCAGCGGCAGTTGAAGAAGTGAGACAAAGAGGGTCAAAAGTCTATTTAAATGTTTCCTGCCAACAGGATGTTACAGTGGCATACCACCGCTGAACAACGGACGGGTCGGCTGAGTCACACAAGGCAGCGCCTAATATTGTAAAGCTAATATTATTATTATTATTATTATTATTATAATAATGGAGATTATATTCTCTATAAACTGAAAAAAACATGTTTAAGGGGAAACAATACATGTGAACGGGGGAAAATATATCAGTGTGAAACTTCACCAGTTTCACATTAAGACCAAAGCCCAAAATCTCAAGTTGAACTACTGGGCACAAATACTTTAGCGGCTATGAGATGTTGTCATCTGAAAGCCATGTGATGATACCCCTGCAGCCCGTATGCTCTCGGCCTTCCCGTCTCTCCTCATTTGCATATGCCTGTCGTGTTTTTCCTCTTTTTTTAAATAGCTGCCGTTTCAAAGAGCCTGATTCACATGTAGTGCACAGCTGGTCCTGGCCTCTGTGGCAGCCAAACGCAGACAAGAGAGAAGACACGCAGCACAAGCCGAAAGACTGCAAAAGATGGAATTTCCATCTTTTGATGCTTTAACTCACTTTTTGAAATCAACACGACATTTTCCCGCGCTGCAGGGAACTGAAGTCTTATGTCTTACGACAACTTGTTCACACACTTAAAAAAGGAAAGAGGGCATAATGTGGCAAAGATGTAGAAGAAACAGAACCAAAGCTCAAATTGTTATTTTGATTACCGCTGCAAATCGACATATTATGTACTTAAAAGTGGCATCATGGATTACCATTTTCAACGAACAAATTATGCGATAGAAATCGCCAAAGGAATTCAAAACAATGTTTGAGTGAGTATGTTTCCAAACAAAAACATGAGACATTGAAGACACACGGACACGGTTAGTTTGGGTTTCCTCCTCCATTACCCCGTGGTACTTACGGCATAAGACTGAGCTTCCCTCCTGACTTGACTCCTTCCCTTTTCTGGACATAGTTAGCCGGGATGGTGCCCTCTCTGCCCACTGTGTTCCTCGCTCTGTACCAGTTGGGATCCTGCAACAGCCAAACGAGCAACAACACAGCCTTAGTACTGGTGATAATAACTGAGGTAAGCAGGAGGTCCTCCCGTGGGTGAGGAGCATTAAAGTCCCTCATGTCCCTCTCTAAACACAGCAGAAGTGAAGCAGTGGGGTTACACAGCTGCAGTACTCTACACATACTGGAGAATGGATACTTAAATCCACTTATTGGCATAAGTTGTTGCAGAAATTATGTTCACTGGGATCTCGGGTTGATATATTAATGCTATTAGGATATGTGCACTAACTATAAACTATTAGTATTGGTTCATACTTTAACGTGAAACAAAAAACAAAAAAATTAGAAGAGCAATCTTAACGTTACGACAGGAGTCATTAATATAAAGACACTGTAGCCTAAATAAGACATTACGCATTGATCATAATTCATTAAGTGTTTTTATTGAAACAAATCAGTTATATGAAACTGCTGCGTTGGCCGTTTCAAGCTAGAAGCAGCAGCTGTCCTGTTACCCAGCGGTCAACAGTACAAGCTGCTTTCTGAGACATGAAGAACGGAAGAGACAACTTTAGCTGTGCTGGTATCGGGGGGGGGTGGGGGTTGGATACGGGTCAGGGCAGGGGG